TAAGTCTCTGTGATAGAGGTTCCGGTTCTATTTTCGGCCACGTTGATTACTGCCATCTTCTGTCGTCTCACTTTGGCTTTCCGAATTGGGAAAAGGTGCCCCTGTTATACAACTAATATCAGGTGTGACCAGTACTTTCTCTACTTTGCGCTTTCTTGGGGGAAGTGCAACTCCCGGACTTACTCGTTTTATATTAGCAAGCAGTCTTTCATTTTCACGCGTCAGCTTTTGGACTCGAGCGCTCAGGGTCCTGATTCTCGAAAAATATCGCATACGATATTTCATGAATGTCACTAGAATATCACGTTTTTCGATAAATTTGTATTCTCGAATTTTCGCGAGACACTCATATGTGATAAATATCGAACGTTTGGTATCGAGTAGGTCCGACCATGCGAAAATAAATATCACATACGAAATTTTAGTAAAAAACAGAATTATAATAAAGAGTGTATCACAAATTGTTATTATCCTCAAAGTTTGGAAAAAATTGGAAGAGATTTATGTTATAAGAAGCTACTTAGTGAATTTTAGGGAAGAAAGAAAAAGGTATGTCAATGAATTGCATGCATTTTATTTACAAAATGTATAACAGCAACTGCATAATTTATTTTGCAGTTTGTGTGGAAGTAATGATGCCAAATAATAATTTAATGTATTTGGGAGCAGCTCGGCTTCTTGAAGAAGTTGAAGAAAGAGATGGAAGGACGACGGTTATTTCATATCAGAAATAATCCGTTTGATTTATCTAATAAAGATTTTATTCGTTTATATAGAATAAACAAAAGAATAACGGAAAATATAATAGATATTGTATCTGAATATATAAATGAGCCTAGACGAATATTAGCATTGGATATAAGCACACAAAAAAATTATTAAATTATTTATTATGTGTGATTATTAGAATATTGTTCATTTACGTAATATTTATTATATTAATTCTTTTATTACAGGTTACAACAGCAATACGTTTCATGGCATCTGGCAGTTACCAGACAGACATACAGTATGTTTGATAAGAGCGTGTACGGCAAAACTCAAAAACTT